AAAAAAAAAAAAAAAAAAAAAAAAAAAAAAAAAAAAAAGCCATACCGCCTTCCCTCCCCAGTTCCTACCCTCCCCAAGCAAAGACAAACAGGAGGACATATCATAGAAAAGAGCAAATAGAAATGAGAACAAAGTTAATGAACAAAAATCCACTTTTCTCAATCAAAAGAAAGAAAAACAAAGGTCAGACAATTAAACCGCATTTTGTCAGACTGATCTCTCTCTACACTACTTCTCCTTTGGGAATTTAATTTCGACGTACCTGGCCGCAATTTCGGCCTTTTTTGAACCGAGATCGTCAGGAGATCCTTCTGGCGGGGAACACTGCAAGCCCTGAAGATTTTTCGGCGCTTGTGGCAAGGAACGTCGAAGTTCAATGCCCAAAGGGTTGGGCATTAAGAAGGGGAAAAAAAAGGGGCCACCGGCTCCTACGGCTCCTGGGACACACCCATCATTTCTAATAGGCAAGTGTAGCAGTTCTGGACACAGGGCAAAAACAGCAGACGCCCCTCGGGGGGGGAAAAAAAAAAAAAAAAAAAAAAAAACCGCCGCCGCTAAATCTGCATTCGCACCGCTTCAATAAAACGGCCGCAGTTTCACCCCCCCGCCCCCCCCCGTCGCTAACCTTGCACATTTTGAAAAACCTCCAACAATGACGTCAGCGCCACTTTGTCTATTCTTTGCCTATTTCAAACTTAAATGGTGACCCAATGGTGACCCAAAACTTGTCACAGTGATATCTTTACACAACTATCATGTCAAAATAGAAAAACAAAAAATATATATATATCTTCACATATATCGTCAGGTTTGGTTTCCTCCTCCCCTTCTTTACCTCTTTGCCTTTTGGCTGCGTGCAAGTGGGTCCTTGTGACACACGGGGATGGGGGCAGCCAGCGMTCAACCTGTCATCCACGTGGCTGGCCTTGTACGTAAGAGGTTATGAACAGGTGGAGCTTTCCTTACCTCTCCCCTTTTTTTTTTTTCTTTTTTTTTTTTTTTTTCGCTTCTGCGCTCTGATTCACAATGTGACAATATATATATATTCCTGCGTGCCTTGAGAGGAGTTTATTAACCACATTAAAACGAATTTGTTTCGATTAAGTCCAGGGCGGCTGTGCCTGCACAATTCCAGTTAATTAACCATTAAAGTGATATCTTTACACAATTCCAGTTAGTTAATCAGTAATACTGATAATCCTAATTACAGCTCCAGTCCACTGGCAGGAAACAGAGAATTAACATCAACTGCTGCACAAACATACTCGAGGAATTATGCGAAGCCCACGAAAATGGTGAAAAGAAAGGGAAACCCAATCTGCTAGAGTAAACAGGATGTGTCGATTTGTTATCTCATGCGTATGTGAGACACTATGACACCACACACAAACACACACACACGCACAGCACATTCATGCTTTTATTGTGGAATTGTATAAAGCGAATACAACAACAACACACATCTCCTGCGTGACTTTTTCCCCTCTCAGATCGTGCGTTCAAACAAACCTGATCATTCACATCATGTGCGTGCAGGTGCGTGCCAACGACCCACAAACCTCTCTCTCTCTTTCTCTCTCTCTCTCTCTCTCTCTCTCTCTCTCTCTCTCTCTCTCTCTCTCTCTCTCTCTCTCTCT